TTCATCACCAAGCTCGGGACCAAACACCACTTCACCTCGGTGGAACATCTGCAGACAAATGGCCAAGTTGAATCCGCGAACAGAGTAATCCTCTGGGGATTAAAGCGAAGACTCGGCAACACCAAGAGAGGATGGGTCGAGGAGCTCCACAGCGTCCTGTGGGCGTACCGGACAACGCCTCACTTGACCACCGGGGAAACCCCGTTCCGCCTCACATACGGAACCGAGGCGGTGATCCCAGTCGACATCAGGGAGTCGTTCAGAAGGACAGAGGCTCCCCTCGAAGGAGAAGCCAACGACGAAACACTCTGGGAAGAGCTCGACCTAGTCGAAGAGATCCGTTCAGGAGCAACCCTTCGCAATACCTAGCTAAAACAAAAGATAGCACTTCGCCACGACAGCAGAGTCCTAAAACGCGAGTTCCAAGTCGCCGACCTGGTCCTACGAAGAAACTAGAAGGACTCACACGAGGGAAAACTTGCCGCAAATTGGGAAGGTATCTACCGTGTCTGAGACAAAACAGAGCACAGGGCATATTACCTCAAAAACCTACACGGGGATCAACTAGCTCGACCATGGAACACTGAGAAGCTAAAAAAATACTACAGTTAAGCACTGCCCACCGCGACAAACGCCGCGACCACAGGGGGGAGACATGGTACCATCGCGCCTCCTCGCGTCTCCCCGAGACCAACAAAATAGCAAGTCCTACCTTTGTATGCGCAGGCAGAAGGCTCTACTCGACGGAGAACCCCTCGAGCGAGGCTCCCCGCCGATGTACCAGAATTGGCAGAACACCCAGCTCGCGATGGGACGTTCATGCTACGGGGATAGACACCCCCTTATCGACCAGGTAACCTCACCGGTCACTCGGCCAGTTCTCTACACTACGGGGCACAATTATCATCGAGTTACCTCCTCCAGACATACAAACGTGCTGAAATAAACATGCATTTCAAACATACCAACTTTCGGGCATACAAACGAGCAGAAATAAAATAGGCATATCATCATGCAGACACAAAACGAGCACACACTTACACAAAATTTCATCTTATAAAGACGGGCATCAGTCCAGTAGTCAGGTTACAATGTCAAAAAGGGCACGCGGGCCCATCAAAAACCCTTAGCAGAAATAAATAAAAGAGTTGGCGCGCAGGCCCAGGATCTACGAGCATGCAAGCCCAGAACAAATCTACACATCTTCACCGCCACCTACTTCAAGCTCGTCCAAGGGGGCAGAGCTATCGACAGCCTCGAGACTAGGGTCGACCACCCGTCCATCAACAATCCTTCAGCGCCTACACCTCTGCATCAGCAGCCTTCAGCTTCTCTTCGGCGTTATCTCCCCTTTTGCGCTGTGTGGCCTTTCCCCCTGGCTTTTCTCTAGCTCTCGGATAACCTTGGTCAGCCTCGAGTGTGTGAAGGTAAGGTCACCTTATAGCTTAGATAGCTCAGCAGAGGAGCAACTCTCCTCGCTCAAGACCGGCGCCGTGGTGAAAATGCGCATCATGGCAGCCAGGTTCTCCGCCAGAACCTGTCGGCAAGCAGCCCTATCCAAACTGAGAACTTCCTTCGCCTCCCCGACAGGAACTTTATGCGACATGGCTCCATGGAAGTAGCCGGGATGCTGGTGACAAGGCGGGATCGTGAAACCCTCCTCGGCAGACCCCTCCGTCAGGTCGACCACACCATCTGCCCGCTGAATCTTAGGCCTTTTCGCAGCCCCCTGAGATGTGGGCGACAGGCTACTCTGGGGACACGAAGAAGACTTGCCCCCTGATCAGCATCAGCTTTCCCGGCAACCTGAGCAAGCCGTGTCTTCTCGGTAATAGCGGCTCTCGAGGCGGCCAGCTTCTTCACCCTCTCTTCGACAAAAGACATATTCCCTGCAAAACGAAAGGGGTGAGTTAGTAAACAAATAAAAGGGAAAAGATAACTCAGGGGAAGAGACAGCCACCACCTAAGTAAATAAGGGCCTCAGCCTCCGACGAGAACTCGAGCAGAGCTTTCGTGTTGATCAGCCTCTTCGTCTGGCGAACGCGCCCTTCACTGTCGAGGATATACCTACCGTCGGGCGTCACTAAGTTCGACGGGGGCAGGTTGGCCACGAACGCAACTATTTTTTGATAGACGTCCAGGTCCTCCTCATTGAGGGTCCCCACCCGCACGATGTATCGATCAATACCCTTCGAGAAATTCTCCTCGGTCCACTCCACGGGCACCTTCGGCACCATGACGGCCTCCCTCTTCCCGTTTACTATTCGCTCCCCTACCTGATACAACGAGGCACACGTTTCTTGGGTATCTGGCCTGACCATGAAGAAGCGGCCCTTGAAGTCCCGGACAGAATCCATATACGTTCGAAAAAGCTTATTCGGTTGTTTCAGCGAGACCCATCCGTGCCGGCCATCCACCGTCTGCCGTTGCAGATGAAAAAGGTGAAAGAACAGCGACAACGTGGCCCCGATCTCCAAATACCTACAAACAAGCTCGAATGCTCGAAAAAATGCTATGGCGTTTGGGTGCAATTGTGAGGGGGCTAATCGCAACTAGTCGAAGACCCCCAATTGGAAGTCCGTGAACGGCAATCTGATCCCGGCCTCCCGGAAATAGAACTCATACATGGGGAACCACATTCTCCCATATGTCGAGCATATATGGTGGTCGTCTCGTGGCCGGTACACCTGCCAGCTTATGGGATCGGCTTCACCCCTGTCCTTAACAGTAGCAAAAGCCTCGATCGGGTCACTAGCAAAATATGAAGGCGTGGATAGAGGCTCATCGGCCACCCACTCCTCAACAGGGTGGACTCGCTCATCAACAGAGGTAGCCCCCGGTTTTTCATCTACGACCATAGTCCCGGAACCGCGAAGTCATTAACACCTGAAAAGCAGAAGGTCACGGTGAATTCGATAACCAAGATCAAATTCACCCTTCCACCGCAAGTCAAGTGAAAGGGCGACAAGGACAACGCCCGCGGGCGACAGTGAAAAGTCGTCTGGGCAGCATCCTCGAGGGACTCATTCTAAGTCCTTCCCTCTCCCCAGGATACCCATATGTCTCTATCACGTATCCCCAGGACACTCATTAAATCGCTCTACAACGTCCTCGGGGAATTCATCCAGTCAACATACTCTCCTCGGGACATTCAACTAATCCTACTGTCCCTCCTCGGGGCATTCATTAAAGCAAGCATCTATCCCCGCGGGATTCAAACTATCCCTTCACTTCTCCTTGGCACATTTATCTAAAACCCTAAAAAAATTCCCCCTGCGGAGGCGGAGATACACTTACTGGATTGTAGATAACGGCGGAATGCACGGCGGTTGTTGCGACGGAGATGGCGAGCAAGCACGAACAAATCAGTCGTCACGTGAGAAAGGAAGCAGAAGCAAAAATGTGGAATGGACGGGGGCTCACATACTTATACCCCCAGCACGGGACTCGAAGCGTCCCTAGGCACTTGAGTGCCCTAGGGTAGCCACCCCTCATGGCCCATTCAACGTTTGACACGTGGCATAGGGTGACAGTCGCGTCCTTTCACATATCCCCGACAACAACCCTTACATCTCCCCGACAACAACCCTTCACATCTCCCCAACAACAACGTCCGTGGGGGCCGCGTCCTCGGTGTGGACGTCTGACAACCCGCACACGCCCATGCTCGCATCAGGTAGGAACATTTCCTCGACATCAGTGCCCGACAGTAGCTTTCCCGGCGCGCTCTCCCGCCTAAGCGCAACATCATCAAGTCCTCGCTCCCTTACCTCGGAGCTACGAGTTGGGGGGCTCCTGTTCTGGCCTGGGCCCCGGCCTGACCGGGAAGGCCCAGCCCGCCTATACTTGGGGAAAGGCCCAAAGGAGCGTTCCTCATATGTGTCGAGCACAAGGCTCCCGTCGACCAGACATTGCCCTGTCGGGCAGGATGCTTCCCCCGTCAGGTAGAAAGACGTGTGTCTCACACGTTCTCCGCGTGCTCCCCTCCACGGGGACACGTCATCAGACAACTATCCACCTCCGAAAAAGCAGGTCAGTCCACCTTCCGGAGATCACGGGACAGTTGACCTAGGGCGAAGACCACGTTCCTGTCTCCACTATGTCACGTAAGCCCTAGCAGTCACTTTGGTTGGGTCTGACCATGCAGCCCAACTCAAGTGATCGTTGGTCCTGCACTGAGGTCTCTCTATAAATACACTCTTTCACAAGAGGGTCAAGTATTCAATTCTATTTTATACACCTCTTTATGTATTTGCTTCTCTCTGGTCCTCTCTCATTTTGGCATCGGAGTGTCTTGCAGGTACCTCCCCCTCCTCCTTCTTACCACCGATGAACAGGCAGTAGATCAAAGACGCGTGGCAGTCCAGTGATTCCCTTCTGATCAGGTCGGATCAAATAATAATAATAATAATAATAATAAATACAACTTTTAAATACAATCCGGTATGATTCATTTTCTTTGTGTTAAAAAAGAATCATACAAAAAAGAAATTATATTATATTACAATAATTATAGTTTATTTAAAATTTTATATTTGAATTAAATGTTTGGTATTGGTCAAATGACGAATATTAATGGTCAATAAAATCAATTAATGTATTTAACAAATTATATTTGAGTCAAATATTTTGTATTGGTCAAAGGATGAAAAATAATGGTCAATGAAATCAATTAATTATAGTAAAATATTTATAAATATATATATAAAGAATAAATGTAAATTAAAACATAAATGTAATATTTCTTGGCTAAATGATTAAAAAATTTATAATAAAAAAACTATAGTTTATTGAACAAATTATATTTGGGTCCTATATAAAAGGTGCATATCAGTATATTAGTTTCAAAGCAGAGTTTTGAATCTATAAGCAATTATCATCGTAAGTATCTTTTCTTAATGCCCTTTTGCTATTTAATTTCTACATTCACTTATCAAAGTTGTTTTTCACTGATATAGATACTATTTCTTCTTATTTTGCAGATCAGGTGCTCATTTGTAATGGATGATCCACTTCTTGTTAATGGTTCTGATGCGGTTAGAAAGGAATACAATATAGTTCACAACCAGAATAAAACCAAAATATCCATTAGCCATGTTTACAAGCAAACACTGCTTTCTCGTTTCAATTTCATGAAAGGTTATACAACTAAAGTCATTAAGAACAAATATGATTCTGTAAGAACATCCAAAGATGTATATTTGCTAAGTAGGGATGACATTAGAAATTATCTTAGCAAATCATATAAGTATTTGCATATTGGGTTGGTACAATTTTCCATAACTCGCTACAACAGATGGTTCTATCAAGACTCAGTCCCTGTGTTGGTATGCTTAATCGATTCAAAGTACTGCAACTATGAAGACTCTATATTGGCAAGAATAAATTCAGATTTGTCTTTTGGTTCCATGGAGTTTAATTGGTTCCCAAATTTTTCATCCTCTCTTTCTGATTTAACCAATTCTAACGGCTTGGTGGTTACTATAGATTTTCTAGAATCTGAAAGATTTAAGGTTGAGTGTCGAGTATGTTTTAAATTAATGAAGAAATCTCTTAAACCTGATTATTTATTCAAAAATCCTATAATAGAGGTAAACACCCGAAAAGTTAGTGTTCATGTCCCAAAATCTGATAACCAGACTTAACTAGAATTCATGAGTTGTAAAAGTGTCATTCTCTTTTCAGCTTATTATATTTTGTTTGTTGGATCTATTTCTCTTTTTTTTCTTTTCTTTATTATGTATTGCGATGAGGATGTAATATGCCTAAGTATTATGAATTAAACATTACAATTTAATGTAATTGCTTTTGGATTGGCTTGTTATTTTTAGTTGTAAATTTTAATGTGTTTTTTCACCAATATAAGTAAATGCTTGTTTCTAGCATCCTTAGGATAATGTCCTCTCTACTTAGGCTTTGATCAGTATTTAATATGCCTAAGTATACTAAATAAAATCGATGAAAATAAAAATAATTAAAGTGATAAAGAAAAATCTAAAAATATTTTTAAAAAATAGACGATAATCTTCTAAGTTAAAATATTCAAAATTTTGGAATGATTCATTTTCTTTGGGTAAAAAAAATCATAAACATAGAAATTAAATTATTATACAATAATTTTAGTTTATTTAAAGAAATTTTATTTGAGTAAAATATATGGTAATGGTCAAATGACGAAGAATAAATGTAAATTAAAACATAAATATAATATTCCTTAGATGAATGAATAAATAAATTTATAATATAATAATTATAATTTATTCAACAAATTAAATTTAATAAAAAAATCTAATAAACTTGATTTTTTTTTTTGAAAATCCTATAAAGATAAATACCAACAAAGTTAGTGTTGTTCATCCAAAATCTAATATTTAAAATAAATAAAAACTAGAAAACAACCATCTTTTAAATTAATATATGCATATTTATGATTTTTGAGAAGCGAGGCTAGAAATTAATTTTAAATCAATTACTGCGGTCAGAATTTTTTAATAATAATAATAATAATAATAATAATAATAATAATAATAATAATAATAATAATAATAATAATAATAATAATAATAATAATAATAATAATAAAATAATAATAATAATAATAATAATAATAATAATAAAACGACTATTTAAAATGATTTCGTATAATTCATGTTCTTTGAGTTGAAGATGAATCAAATAAAAATATAAATAAAGTTAAAATACAATTACTGTAATTTTGTTAAGGAAATTATATTTGAGTCAAATGTTTGGTATTGGTCAATTAATAAAATTATTGGTAAAATAAAACATATATATATATATATATATATATATATATATATATATATATATATATATATATATATATATATATATATATATATATATATATATATATATATATATATATATATATATATATATTTACTAGACAAATGAGTGAACAAAATAATAATACAATTACCATAGTTTATTGAACAATTAATTTTAGGTCAATTATTTAATATTGGTCGATTATAAGGTTTTGTTCCGAAATCAAAATCGTTAGTGCATCTATACAATGAGGTGATGGGTCCAGTTTTGGCAGTGATGTGGATGGATAGAAGAGTTGGTAATTGAATCTATTAAAGCAAAATTCATTCAATTCATCTATTAAAAAATTCATCTAATCTATCGATTATATAAAAAATAAATTAATAGATTATATTAAATACATCCATTTATATGTATAGATAGATTCAATCCATCCAACATATTTTAAGGATCCAATTGATTATTTTTATTTTTATTAGATTTATTTTTTAAAAAATAATTTAAAATAAATTTTTTAAAAGAAAAGAGTTAATTTTTTTCCAATAAAAAAACCGGAATTTTTTCAAAACAAATTTGATTGTTTTTTCTGAAAAATAAAATCGGATTTTTTTCAAAATACAAAACTGATTTTTCTTCACAAAAAAAATTTTGATTTTTTTCGGAAAAAAATTGAATTTTTCTAAAAACAAAAACCCATTTTTTTCGGGAAAAAACGATTTTTTTTCATAAAAAAAGTACAATTTTTTTCCGAAACAAAAAACCAAATTTTTTATAAGAAAAATAGATTTTCTTCCCGAAATAAAAAAGATTTTTTTTCAAAAAAAAAACGATTTTTTTAAAAAAAAAAACGATTTTTTTTAAAATTAAAATATCAATTTCTGGAAAAAAACACAAGAAATTCTAAATTTCCCAAAAAAACCGACTTTATTTTGGAAAAAAAACCGATATTTTTCAAAAATTAAAATATCAATTTTTTTAAACAAAAAATTCAATTGTTTTCATAAATATACTAGAAAATAATTTTTTTTAAAAGTACAAAAAATGAATTTTTCAAAAATAATATAAAATCGATTTTTTTTAAATAAAAAAATATGTTTATTTTTTCAAAATAAAAAAAAAAAGTTGGATGGATGGATATCTATCCATTAAAAATATGTTAATGGATGGATTTTATTCTTAACGGATGGATTGGATTGGATAATTTTAAGAAAATTTTAGTGGATTGTTAATGGATTAATGGATTGTTTCTATCCATCCATTAACAATTCAATCCATATCCATCCAATCCATCCATTTTAACACCCTTAGCGGATAGATAATGTTAGCATTCTAACATTGAGGTTAATTTGTGGTCATTGAAAAATGGAGTGAAATTTGATGAGAAAAATCATATTAGCTTTGGCATCAAGGTAAGTATTTATAAGACAGTTCGGATTTGGAACCTTTGGAGCTTATCATCGGTTCGGAACAATTGCCCCTCGTACGTGTCTGCTATGTTGTGAGACATGGGAAGACTCTAAAATTAAATGGAGTGTCTTTTTGTCTATTGACACGCCACAAGTGTACAACAATATCAAAATGTATAAAAAGTATTGTATCATAAACCCCAAGTAATTAACTATCGAATTCCATCTTATCTTTGTGTAGCTAATGTTGTATCACAGTTTTAAAAATTAGCCACAGAAGAAATTATCGGATCGAGTCGGGGACTGGGTCGCTCTCTTTAAGACATTTCGCGACACTACCCAAAGTTATGCAAAGTAGTCGAACTACCGCGCCGCCCCTAGGATAACCGGTCTACAAATACCTTCTGATGGTACAAAGACCATTCAAATATGGTATAAATATCACTCGTAGTATTTGTTATAACAATCAGTCGTAATAATCTCTTAAACAAAGAGAAATTTCAATAATTCTCGAAAGAGGAATCATTAATGATCATTTGACCACTCAAAATGATTTCTCATAAAAAGTGAAATTTGAATCATTCTCTAAAGAGAATTCAAAAATTATACTTGATAACTTCTCAACTCAAATGAGGAGAAATTAACATACTTCTCTAAAGAGAATTCAAGAAAATACTCGGAAGACTCAACGAGTAGATAGAAAGGGGGAGAAGTTGATGCTTCGACAATTCGAAAGACGCAGAGTTATGAGAGTCAGGAAGAAAAAAACTCAAAATTAGTTTTTGGTGTATTTTGAAATGAAATAGAAAATTTCCTTATATAATGAAATAAGTGAGGAAATATATCTCACCTATGCAATGTGGGAATAAGGAGGTTTCTCAACTAACACACTAAGTGAGACTTGACTTAAAGAGCTTTTTCAAATTCATCTTCCTATATTTGAATATGGAAATAATGTTCCAACAATCCCCCACTTGAAATTTAAAAAGTGTTTCAGAAGTAACGTCAAACGTTTCTAAGATTGTGCGTAAACAAAGGTGTCTACGACAAGAACCATTTTCTTGAACTCTATCTCAGACATTAAACCCGCACATAACCTTTTCTTAAGATGTATTCTAATAGCCCGTGCTTTAATGACCTTGCACGTGTATCCCAATTTAGTGAAGACTCTAAGAATTCTGCCTCAAAATTCCATAGGAACTAGCCTAAGTTCCACAATCACAAAGGTGAGTCTATGAAGAGTACTCATGTAGCCTAGATATTCCCTCATACAGAGTATAGATCTCATTAAGAATTTATATCATCTCATCCTCTTATTACTTCAGAATTCATGCTTCACTTGCATGATCATCTCATATTACTCACTACTTGTGATTACCCATCAAACCTATTTCTTTGGATCTCCAGCCATCTAGGTCGGGTTACCATCATAAGCAGCTCATTTCTTTATAGTATCGCAACTGCGAAAAGGGCTAGTGGAAACAAACAGAAGAGTCGCTACCGAACGTTATTTATCCCAAAGAGAGGGAAAGGAAAGATTGAAGAAAACCTAAAAGAACGGGAAAAGACAAGGTCATCGTAATCAAATCTTGGGTTCAGAAGTCGGTTACGCAAGGGGAAGGTATGAGCACCCCTCACGTCTGTTGTACTCAACGGGATCCACGCTCATTGTCAATCAAAGGGGTGAGTTATCTAAAAGCTACTGCTAAACGGGGGATGGAAAAGAAAAAGGAGACTCGATAGGACATCGTCGCCCTATGCCTATGTATTCCCTCGTGCAATGGGAAAGTCAGAGTCAACGTAGTTCGAAAAACTACGGGTGATGGGGGGAAGGTTGCTCGCCAAGACATCGATGTCTTGTGCCTACGTATCCTCATCTGGTATGAGAAATCAGAGCAAATGTAGTTTGGGTAACTATACCACAGGTTGATCAAGTGTTTTTTATGAGTGACGTTAAGTTCCTATTCCAGCAGTTAGGGTCGATTCCTGTTTGCGGTAGAACGGAAAAACAACATACTCTTTTCTAAAAATGATTTTAGAACAAATCCTTAAGATAAAAAGGTTTGAACTTGGTTTATGAGTTTTAATGAAGTGAATTGAAATGGTTTGAGATTCACGTTGCACTAAAGACTATGACATAGAAACTGTAACACCCCCTTTCTATACCCCCAAATTAATCAAATAAATCAATTAGGCACTTAGAAAATTTATTTCATCAGAGTTTAATTAAAACATGGTATATAAGAGGCGCATCACATTATCATGAAATTAAACACATACGATACCTGCTCAAAATAGATATGCAACAATGGGTAACCCACATCTCAATATTTAGAATAAAAGCAGAAACATCCAAATATTGAATCGTTCACATACATAAAAGTATATACAACCATTCAATCAATTCATGCTTTACAACCATATCCACAGCGGATACATACACAGAT